TGGATTCTGATCTTGCTGATGGATCAGCTATTGAGTGTGAGAGAAAAAGGAGAGTGACTTAAAACACACTAAAGGAATAAAAGCAAGAGGAGGAAGGAAAGGAGATATCTAGAACATACAAAGGGGTTAAGGCTCCTTTAGGATTTCTCTCAAGGTCAGGCAAAGAACTCCAGGATTGGATTGAGTAGCCAGCATGTGATTTTTGGTTCCTAGTAGTATCTGGAACATGAACCTAGGCTGGCTGTGTGTCTTGAGTTAAAATCTACTAATCCCAAACTTGCTTACAGTGAAGTTAAATTGTGTGGCCAACCCACTGAGAACATGTTAGTCTAGTGGCCTCCCTTGGGAAGTTGGATGGAAGAGGCAGTAGGGGTGTAGTGATGGTCTGGGAAGGAGAAAACCTGACCTCCTTTTGTCCCTAGATAATGGTGATTCTGAAAGTGTAATCCTTGGTTTACAACGCATGAATGAGACCCCGCGATAAACAGATGTCGTTATTCCCAACCCCAAATTTCACCATACAATTTACATATGTTATTTGCATTTGAGTGCTTTATTATATTGGAATTGCAGTGATATTAACATTTGTACAAATGCACAAAATCTTGTCTCTTCTTGCTAGAAAGAGATGTAAAAATCTGACCTGGTTGAACAGTCTTAACTCATTGTCCATTGGTAACAATAAATGTGTTCATGATGCAACAAAAAGCTTAACATAAAATCAAACACATTAAATGCTGCAGCAAGTATTTACATGTATGTACCCCCAATTTTTTTCTTCTCCTTCCAATAAGGAAGGTGGTTGCTTTACAAATAGACAAACAAACACAAATGCTTTGCTGTTTACAATTACAAACAACCCCAAGTCCAGAAATTAAAGTGACAGCACCTTTTTTGGGACTTCCTCAGTTAACACGTTACACAGTGCTAAACTTTTTTCTTTTAATTATATTTTTGGACAATATTTATATTCCAATTGTCCTAGAACATTGTGTTTGAACTGAGCCATCTTTTTCTTTTCTTTCTTTTTTTTTTTTTCTGGGCCTTTTCAGAAGATCCCAAACCCTATGTCCTCTCTAGGGAGAACATTTCAAGCTTATCTTTTCTCTAAGACATTTCTCAAAGGCAGCACTCCTCGCTCTATGAGGCAGATGTGATTTAGCAGAACATAGAAGGAAAAAGGGTGAGCAGATCTCTTCTACTGGCTGGCTGGTTGGGAAGGGTCTTTTCTTTTAAATGCCGTCCACTTCAGCACTACTGATACCTTTCATGATCTCCGGTAGTGTCTGTAGCATTGGTATTCTAAAGGAGCAAACTAGAATCTAATGAGCTTATTGTGCATAAGATTTTAATGATGTATTTAAAGCTAATTTATTCAGGTTCCACATTCTTAGTCCTGAGGCTAAATGATTCTATTGTGGGAAAAAAAAAATCAATCCCATAAAGTTCTATAATATGAAGCTCAATGTAAGAAAATCTTAAGTGGCTTAGAAAGAGCTTTCTAGATCCTGGCTTCTACCAAGCTAAATATTATAAGTTGATCTAACTATGACAGTTGGTAATTATTGATTCCTTTGTGAAAATATGCTTGGAAAAGTATCAGAGTGCCACTTAACAGTATTAATCTTTTAACAAATGCTGGCAATTTGGCCTTACTCCCACCCCCCTTCAGCTTGTGGTTAAATATTTTTTTCCTAAAAAATAGACAATTTATGAGAAAAAATATATAAACACTCTTTAAGCAATTTGGCTACAAGCATCACATCACTGAAAAACTCCACAAGAAATAGTAAAATATTTTGAATGGACATATATTTTTTCATTTTCACAACATGATGTTTCATAAATGTATCTGTGTTTTTGTTTTGGTACTGGATTTTACTTGTAAGTTTATTGCTCCTGCATTGTTTTATCGTTCCTTAGATTATAATTGGGAAATAGAGGTGCTGTCCCTAGATTATGTCACAAGGCAACATTGTATTTTTGAGACCTAGGAATGAAATTGGTAGAGCCACTGTTATTTCAGTGACCTCAAAGAGACTATGGCTAGGACAACAGTCAGACGTGCACCAGAATGCACAAAAGAATAAGTCTCCTGGCTTATTCAGGACACTTTGGTTTGGAGGATGAAATAGAAAATTCTTAAGTGTAGCTTAGCTGCTGCCTCATATCTGTTGCATAATATAATATTTTTTTTTTAAAAAAAACATGCTATGGATAAGGGGATAGAGTATAAACCGTATAGTGTACTGACTCTTCTTGGCATTCTCGCAGCAGGCTTCATCTAGGCTGATGTGAGAAGCAAGTCTCAGCTGTGCTACCAGTGAACGCACACAAATGTACCTGGTGCAAATATTCTGTAAAGTATTTTAAATGATGTAGCTCAGAGCCTTTGAGGCGGTATAAAAGGGAGAGCAAAGGCGAGCTTGGGAGTGGGAGAGGTGAGAAAGAGAACAGGAGAACTGGAAAGGGATCAAAAAGCTAAAGTGCAATTTTAACATATAAATTATTTCAAAAGCAGAAAAGAGATTCTAAATTGCTACTGTTCACATAGGCACGGTTTTTTTTTTTTTTTCAAATTTAAATGAGTTGTTTCCTTTCCCTTCTCAGATATACTGCATAATAGAGTTTGAATGGCTTAAAGCTACTGCATATTATTTGGGAAGGGACAAAAAGCACTGAGGAAGCTGAATAGTGCAAGGCATTCTGGGAAATTGGGGTGGGGTGGAGAGAGGCAGAAATGAAGTTGTTTTTACACTTTGACAAGAAAGCTGTTCCAGTTATAGTTACTGATTCCCTTTAGCTAAACTCTGCTTCTTAAAAGAAAGAGTTTATTTTAAAAATGAAACAAAAAAAAGAGATAAATGTTAAAAAAAAAACTGTTCAGAATGTAGGTTAAAAAATAACTCACAGAGCAGTAAAAATCCTTGAAATTCTATGCACAGAGATCTAAGCAAACATTTCCACCAAATGATGGAGAATAGCCACTTGAAACCCTGAAAAATGAAAATACACATGACTATAGTAGTTTATTATGGACTAATACTCTAAAAACAAGTAGATCCTACAGAAGAATACTGTTCAAATGGAATGTTTAAAAATAACATTTATTAATAAATATCTTATAAAATTCTAAATGAATAGATTCCTGTTCAAATTTTGCTTTGGTCCTTGAATTCCACTGTATACACACATACATACATATATTTTTTCTTAGATGGTTTTTTTTTTTAAACCAAAAAAGAAGCACATTCTATCCTAACTGCATGGCTAGTTTTATAGCAGTTACTGATGCTGAAATCCCCCAGCCAAAAGCTGGTCTCTTACAGAAGCTGGTTTATGATTTTAATGAGAAACTCAACTAAAACACTAAAATTTACTGAGCAGGCAACAACCACCTGAACATTCACCATTGACACCCCACTATCAGAAGAGCTCTGCATTTTGTCTCAGTGACTCCATAGGCTCTGAAGAGCATTTGCGCATGGTAAGTCACCCTAATTATAATGTGTACCATGACAGCACACAAACTGCTTGTCGTCTCCCACAGGCTGTGCTCAGACTGTGGCTTGTATACATTGATGCGGGGTAAGAGAAGAATGAGTAGGAGTGTGAAGGGAAAACATATGACTTAACACTGGGCTTTAAAATTAACACATTCCCCCGTGGCTGGGATTTTCACCGTACCTGTCCTGGCATCATAGATTGAGAAATGTGTCAAGGAGAAACAACTAAGATATAGACACCTCAATGTAGGTGACGAGTCACCTGGCAGAAATGCTCTCAGGTGTACCTATCTAAGTTGTTACTTCCCTTTGCATTTGGCAGGGGAGGCACTTTTGATGTTCCCAGGTAGGCTAGCAGTGACTTCAGAGGCAGATGGTGCCAATAAGGAAAACCAAAGGCGAATGAAGACAGGCAGCGCTTTGGGGATTTTCCTTCCTTAGCATGGGCGCTCTGAAGACCATTACGACGGACTCATGAAGACATGGATGGGTGACTCAGTAATGGGCTGGAAGAGGAGAACAAATGGGTGGAAAGATGTTCTCTCACATTGGCAAAAAGTGTAGGTCAAGCGACAGGGGTGTTTTCAGGCAGACCGGTGATTCTGTGGTCTGGTGAAGGCTTGGCCCTTTAGGTGAAGTATTTAACAGTGGTAAGCCAAGTGTTGGTTTTGACCAGTGAATCTTTCTGTTTGGGATTTCAAGAAGCACTGACAACTAGCTGGAATCTTTCACTTGCTGTATTTCCATCCTGTGAATGCACACACCTAAAGGCCCTGAGTATAACAAGAAGACAGTTTATTCTAATTATATGTTGAGGCCGCTTTGCTAACGTGTGTGGTTGGTTTGCCTGCTTAGCATAAAAAACAGACATAATTGAGCTATATATAATGCACATCAGTCAAACTGTCAAGTCGCTGAATTAAGAAAACTCAGGCAAGTTCTTAACTGCAGAGGCTTTCAGTTTAGCAACTAACTATTTCAATCAAGAAGTGGAACAGAAGTAAACTAAACCATAATTTTAGTGACAGGTCACTCCCTGGACATTCTGGTATTACTAGTGGATTTTTTTAAAAATCCATTTTATTAAGTGCTATGCATGCAGTAAAGAAAAGTTTTTATTTTTACTTAAAACAAAGCAAAACATAAAACAAAAAGAAAAATATTTTAAAACCCAAACATTTTAATGTGTTCTTTTTCCTTTTTGAGGGGGATGAGGGGACACATAAGTGGTCTTATTAGGGAGATTTTGAAAAATTGTTTTTGATTTCAAAACAGAGATATGAATGTTAACTTCTTTTTAAAGCTACGTCCTAAACATTTTTTAGGAAGCCAGTCAAGTTAAACCATTCAGCTGTTACTGCTGGAATTAAAAAACAACAACTATGAATTCAGTATTTAAAATACTTGAAAATGATATGTTTGTCTAAAATATAATAGAAAATTCTTTTCATTTGCATTTTTTCTTTCATTCTTCCTTTTCTTCTTTCTTTTTTCTTTTTTTTTTTTTTTTTTTTGCTTTTGTTTTGATTCTTTGACCATATATCCAAGTCATAAGTTTCACTGGACACTGACAACCATCTTTTGAAAGCACTGCATACATGGAAAAGACTGTTGATAAATATTGATTTAAAAAGTAAGTTATTAGATAAAACTGAAACTAGTTATATAAAAATCATGCTTCGTGACCCTCATATTTTCTTTTTTCTCCAAAATAGATTCTTATGCTATAGTGAGAGAAAAAAACAAAACACATTCTTCCCTTTTCTGAACTCTTAAAAAAGCTACACCTTTTGTAAAATACTGTTCTTTTAAAACCCATCAACACACGTGCACGCGCGTGTACACACACACACACACACACACACACACACGCACACACACACACCCGTTGAGGTCAAGCATTCAAATGGAGATGAAACACCGGCACCTGCCTAAACTGCTAGAGAGAAACATTAGCCCCTGTTATTTGTGAGATGCAATATTAAAACATTAGCACAGTAGAATGGCTTGTTTCAAGGAGGCACGACTGTGGTTCAGGGACTGTCTGCTTTGTATAACGGGCAAGTTCATGTAAGTTGTTGGAAATATAAATCAGAATTATTCAGAAGAGTAGAGTAGCCTGTGCTACATCCATGGGATTCCTTCAGCAGCCAAAGAGCACTTTCACTGTCTCGGGAGGGCTGAAAGCGCCCCTATGGAAACACTGGGTTTTCTTTCTCTCTTTGTTTCTCCAGTAGTTAGTCTACTTTCACCCACCAGAATAGCAAAGCTGGTTCCATAGGCTTAAGAAAAAAAATAATAATAAATCTTAGGCTATTAGCAGCTGATGATTGAACAATGTAATCTGTGTAGTAAATACAGCCCTTCTGAATTATTATATAGTACATGGATTTTCAACATTATAGACAGGCCATATACAACCAGTTGTAATTCAAGGGTGTGATGTTATGGCCCCGCGTCATAATTTGGACGTTCACAATGGAGGCTTACAAAGTTCCCTTCCCTAGTGTCTCCCCAGCTGGCATTCAACGGTGCTTCGCCTACTACTAACCCACCTTTTATTTGCTCTGATTATTAAAAACTTTAAATCAGGCACATTAAGCATCTCCTGGTTATTACTTTGTGAGAAGCAAGAGTTGAATGAACTTTGGCTGTGGGTGACAGACAGGGGAGGCAATGGCTAGGTCCACATTTTTGAGGTTTACTTTTTTTTTTTTTCTTTGAACATTATTTTCTTCTTCACATGCAATGCTAAAGGGAAACAAAATAACACAGAAGAAAGTCAAAATGACGAGTAAACAGGGAGCCCAAGAAAAAGTGGAAATGGAGAGGAAAACTGGGCATTTCAGTAAGTGGACCAAGAGGAGGAGAACAGGTGGCGAGATGCTTGGTGGTTTTATTTGGACATCAGTGGATTTGATAATTTTTTTATAGCAGGAGGAAAAAAAACGTTGTGGGGAAGACCGTGTGTTCATCTGGGATTCTGGTGACATCACAGCGCAAACTCAACATGAGTGATGATGTCATCAGATTTCCTACCCAGTTACCTTGGATTGGTCTTACTTGACATGTAGGTACGCCTCATTTTGGCTGAAAGCTGTGGTTTTAACAAGGTTCAATGTTTCAGGCAAAGGATTGGACTGGTAAGAATGAAACCATGACTATATACAGAAAAGATTCAGTTTATAAACAAGTAACTGGTACCAGAAAATTGGAGAAAAGCACCAAAGCATTTTCCAAGCCAATAGATATTAATTGCATAACTCCCTTTTTTCTTATATAACTAAGTATAAAAGACAACATTTCCATAATAACTATAAAAACGAAAGCCAGTCTCTGAAGGGCTGAGGAGTCTTCCAGGTCTGAGTTAATTCTAAAAATGCCCTTAAAAGAAAGGACCCATGGGATGCTACAGCTCTTCTTGGAGGCCGGGTCTGACCGTGCGTTTTAAAGAATCGGGTTCAGGTCTGTTCTGTGAGTGGTGAGCTGACTGAGGGTGGAGCTTCCCACGACCTCACTGACCGATGAGGACGTGGTGATGGTGTTATGCTGGATGACTTGTTGCTGGGAGCAGGCTGGGACGGGGCTTGCAGGAGGGCTGCTCTCCGGACCTAGGAAAAAACACACATACACACACACCCCAATATAATAATAGCTCTTTCTTGTGTGGACCTCTCGGAAACGTAGTACTAGACATTTACTTGAAATAGAAGAGTTTCACACATTTTCTTCCGGAAGTTTACTTTATTTCCAACTGTTATCACAAAGCTATGCCTTCCCAGTTTACAGCTACGAGCAAAGCCATGCTTTCTAGATCAGCGAAATGGTTCTGATGTGTTTGAATCCTGCAATGTGAACTTCCCCGTCTCGTATTTTCAAATAGCCATCCATATATCAAATGTGGAAAAATACTCACATGTGGTGGGAGAATCTGTGTTGCTCAATCTAAAAAATTATTTGAAAATAAATTGACCTTCAGCCATGAATCCCGGCTCCTCCCACCATCCCCTACTCGACTGGGTTTTAACCTATTGAGATTCCAGGTGCAAACATCAGGGTTCTAGAAGAAGGGGTCCACTGTACTTATTGGTAAACCGAGACCAGGTCATTAGCTTTTCAGCCCAGTGAGTGATATGTGGTATATCCTCATAGTCTGAGTGGAATTCATCTGATTTATTTTCTAGCCCTCAGATTTCTCAAGAAGACTGCTTGTCCACTTACAACTGGGCTCCAGCAGGCTATTTGCTTATTGGCTACAAAACTGGAATTTGGTAGGATTTCACAACTTGAAATGCCAGGGAAGGGGTAGCCAGAAATTACCAGGAGGTCGTGGGCATGATGTTGGGGAGGGATCAGGAAATAGGGATCACCTTGGGAGAATAGTCTGGCAGCCACCCAAGAATTCTAGTACATCTGTCTGGGAGCACAACCTACACTTTACCTTTGCTCTTTCAATAAAATTCAGTGCAAAATAGTGGCAAAAACTTGGACACTGAAACAAGCAAAAACGTTGGTGACTTACTGAGATATCCTTGCGATTCTTTCTGCATGGCTGTTATTGGGCAGTCTTTATGTGTTAACAACAACTGTTTCAGCTGGGCCACCTCATTTTTCAACATAGACACTTCATTCTGGAAAGAGACACAGTAAACACAAGTTGAGAAGACCAGAAAATACAAACTCAAAGCCCTGTATACTTTCAACAGTGAAATCAACAAACTTTTCCATTATACGTGAAAGGCATTAACAATATTGTTTAGAGGGGTTCATCTGAAAATATGTAGCTTGCCTTCAATTTGGCCCTCACATTTACTGGGGCTTTCTGAAGAAACAAGGGCTTTAACTTAGGAGCTAACCCCATTAAAAGGCCAGACCACACCCTTAGGTGAGGGCCTCTGGAGCCAGATTGGAGAGATGAAAACCCCCACTCCACACTTATTGTACGACACTAGGCAGGAAATGGAGCCCAACTGAGCTCCAGCAACCCCATTTATAAGATGGGGATGAAGACAGTACAAAGTTTTTTAGGTTAGTGTGACGATCAAATGAGGTAATAAATGTAAAACACAACAATGCTCAGCAGGTACTAAGCACTCAATAAATTTGGCTATCATCACTGTCACCGGCTTGGGCTGACATTCAATATGAGGAGAAGGTGCACGTGAGGCATGCACTGGGAAGAATTACGTGGCAGGATGAGTGGCTTCAAGCTGAAATGCAATCAGAATGAGCTGACTGATCTACCATCAGATTTCCCAAAAGACGTCCCATGTGGGCTACTGTTCAGCAGAGCATGTCCCCCTGCCTGATGCTTGCGTAGCACGAGGCATGGAAGGCGTGATGCAAATGTCCATTGTCTACTGGTGCAATGACATCAGCCCAGGCAGGCAAGAGGCAATGACATTCTGAGCTACGATTGACTTAATTGGATAAATTCATTAATTAGTTTGGCTAATTTGATTCTATAAAACTCTTTTCCTCCTCAATATCAGGATGTTGTGGATGGTGGGATTCCTTTTTTCCTTTTCCTTATTTACTCAGATAAATGCCTCAAATCTCTATGTTATGTAGTAATTCACAAAGGCATGCTCTCAGAGCTTTGTAGAATAATGTAACTGGCACCCATTGTCTACAACTATAAATGCAGAATAGATGGTTGGCTCCAAGGTGCTTCCACTTGATAAAAGTAAACTGTAAACATAGCGCTATCTTGAATAAGCCATTTTAAAATTGTGACAAATAATACCCTCTCTCTGGCCAAGGTTCACTGGTGGCTGCCAGGCATTTTCCTTCACATGTAGGAAACTTTAAAAAAGCATGCACACAGAAAAGGGCGTTTAACATTGCTGTCATTAAGTTATATCTACACTTGCAATATGAACTTGGCTTTTCAGGCATGTACTTATCACCTAGGAAAGTAAGTTTGGGATTCTAGAACCTACTTAAAAAAAAAAAAATTCAAACCTGTTTTAAAGAATATCTCCCATTTCCAAATTCCTTTGTAAAATACATTATAAGCAACCACATACTGAGTCACTTTAATAACAAAGTCATAAAAATCTCATCTACAAAAGCTTTTCCCTTACTCCTCCAAACTTTACAAAGTAAAAGTGCCTATTTTGGAAATTATCCTTAATGATGAATAAAATCACTTAATTACACAGGAAAATTGCTCTTAAATCTGAAAATATTCATGAAGGTGAATTGTACCCCAGCCCCCCCCCCCAAAAAAAAACACGAGTATGATTGATAAGAGGCTCTGTCAAAGCCAAAAGTGACGCTGTCAATTCCAGGGTCAGTGGGACAATTTTATTTATAGGATAAATTATTTTAGTCTTAAACACTAATCCTTTCCTTTCTGATGTTACGCCTATCTAAATTCAGACGGCCTTCCTTGTTTTTCTTAAGTTTCTCTTGTGCGTAGAATAGCATATATAAAAGAAAGTCAATTTAGATTATTTTAATCCCTGGTGAAAAACAAAGCAAACAAAAAATAAAACAAAAAAGGAAACAAAGATGTGCTAATATATATATTTGCCTCAGAATAGAAGGTCATATTATTTGCACTGGGACTACAGACAACACTGAAATCACAACTGCCGGACACCTGCACCCTGAGTAGAAGCTCTCAGCTGCAGATAATGTAGACAATGGATCTGAGAAAACGGAATCAAGTTCACACTTTTCTACTGTGACCTAGAAAACAACAAACAAGTATTAAAAAGAAAACTGGATTTTCTTGCTTTCTTATGCTTCTGGAAGAAAAAATCCCAAATTCCTGTCTGGAGAACCTCTTGGAAAGGTTGAATTTAGGCTCCATTTCTTCCCCCACTGTGTCCTGGGCAGTGAAATCCTGTCTAGGCAGCATTCATTCTCTCAGGCACAAGGTGTTCATCACCCCTTCTTTAAGAAAACACCCTGAATTCCATCCTCTGCGTTTCTATAATTAGCAAGGAGCTCACTGTCTATGATACTTGGCATGCCCCAAACTTTTTGACAATAAACCTTTTGCTTCCATCAGGGTGTTTTACTACAAAACAGCACCACTCGCAGCTCTGAACAGCATACATGGTATCCTGACCTATCACCAAAGCCCCATACAAAGTATATATGACTTTAGTGGCATTTTATCTATGAGTAGCAAAACACTTTATTAATAAACCAATATATTGTAAGTATAGAAGAAACCAAGGCCCTGAGAGTTATGAAGATCTGTACAAATGAAGAACCCAGAGAATATTGTGATAACTGTCCATCATTTACAGATATGTGAGTATGAACGTATTTCTTAATGGAATGTGCTAGTAATTATGTTATTTAGCCATGGTATGGTTGAAAAGTGAATAGCAATGAATATCCTCAGTAGAATAGATATTTATTCTAAGATTAATAATAGGTCAATCTTTTACATGTTCATTTCACTAAAAATTATGTTCAGGTAATTGCCAACCTTATTTCACCAGACTCAGTGTCAAGTGACTCTTGGCTATCTCCAAACCAAATCTACCCTTAGAGAAAGGACATTTCTCCATCGTTGACTTTTTGAAGTCCATAATCTGAGCCAATCCCAAAGGAGTGACCATATTTCAGAGATGCTTTCACCTGTGCAATATTTGTACATGCTATTATATGCAGTGAATAAATATTAAAAATCCAAAATAAAAAAGAAATAATAATTTTAAAAAACCCACCACCAAAGGTATAAAATATAATAATAATATGATGCTTATGTAAGAACTAAATAAAAGCCCAATAGCCACAGAAGCAACAGAAATTCATGGGGAAACATCCAGCAGGAAAAGGAACTCTCAACTAGGGGTTGAGAATCATGAGGTTTCAGTCCCCAAACTGTCACACCAACCAAGCACAATGCAAGATGGTTGGACTAATTCTATGTTCTTTCTAGAAAGATAGCTTTTTAGTCTATGAGTGATTCTGTGTTGCCTTCTATTGGGAAGGCTAATCACCCAATTATGTAATGAAAGATTCAATCTTGATTTTCATCCATTAGTTAAGTACTTTTGATATTCTCAAATATGCTTATATTTCAGATCTTATATTTCATCAGGGAGCCAGTTCTAGCACCTCGTGCTATCAGGGTAGATTCCTACAGTTTCATTCTAGAGCAAAATTTTGTGTGTCCGTATTGTTGACAGAGAGTCTACGGAGCCTTCATCAGACTCCATAAGGGGCCTTTGGCTTAAGAAAGGTCAAGAATCACTATTCCAGAGAAAGAATGAATCGTGTGCTAGACACATGCATAATCATCTTAAGGATTCCATACTGCAAAGCTGATTAATGTGTTGGAAATGCTCATATACTAGACTACATTTTAAGTAAAAATCCTTTTCAAGGTAACGTATGTAGAATCACCTTGAATTCATTTTGGAAGAGAACTAGATAGCACATGTGTCGAGATGCATAAAGGTAATCAAATGTGGCCTGCAAGTTGAGCAGGGAAATAAAAGCCAGGACTTCTAGAGAGATTTTCTTACTCTGAATTAATTACCTTGCTTGCTTCGTGAATTGAGGAAAATCACTAATTTTTTTTTATTCCTCTATGTAGGGTATAATAAGAGTTCTAGGTCTTAATATAAAAGTACCTTGTGGAAAAAATGTATTAACAACATGTATTGATTCTCCTGCAGAAATCACCCCTTCATTTTTTCATATTTCCAAATTAATCTGGATTTGCTACTCTGAAGCAGTTAGCCATTTAAACAGACACTGTAAGAGGATGGATCCAGTTGATCTATTTTTAAACCCATAGGTTTGCCTGGGGATGAAGTAGCACTCCAAAGAGATATTCAATACTGCAATAACATACTTTAAACAAGCACTCCAAGGAGTCCCTAATAGCTACATTTGCTGTTTTTGGCTTTGGGGATGTCATTTAGTTATATGATAAATCTAGAATGCTTTTTGGTGTAAACAGTAGTTTGTGCCAAAAAAATAATTATCAAAATGGGCCCTACAAAATAAACCCCCCTCCTCCCATTTTTGTAGATTAGCTGAGACCAAGTTCGGTTCGCTCTGAAACAAAGGACTCTCAATTTGTCAAGCAACAGTTCCCATCTGGCCTATTCTCTTGCCAAGTCCCAGACCTGGGCTCGTGTGTCTAAAATTTCAGCAGCAACTTAGACCATGTGTCTTTGCACTAAAAACGAAAAGCAATTATTTCCATGGGTGACCAGATGATTTCCATATCCTCTACTGAACACAAGCGATCTACTGAGCACTACATCGGCAGCGGATGAATTTAGAGTTGATCTTAGTCACTGTGTATCAGAAACACAGATTCCTTTAGCTTAAGGACTTTCTAGAATGAAAGGTCACAAACAAAGCAGTGGGTTAGGTCAGGGGGAGACTTGCTTGAGTCCTCACTCTGCTACTTACTGGTTGTATGATATTCAGGAAGACTCATTTCCCTGAACCTCAATTTCTCTCTCTATAAAATATCAGATTGGGTGGTTTCTAACATTTCCCTCAATCCTGTACCTGTGTTGACCTCTTGGACAGAGATTTGTTGTGAGACTGGGAAATGAAGTCTGGGAGTCTGATTTTGTTTTCTTAGGTCTGGTTTTTCTGGTCTGAAACTCTGCAGCCTAACTAGAAGGTTCTATGCTGAAAAACAACTTAAAAGTGGCAGCTGGCCACCCAGACCATGGATATTCCGTTTGGCTGGAGTCTGTTTGCTTAGCACCTTCCATTTCTGTTTGCTTAAAATTTGGCCCATTGGACTAGTCTCAAGAGAGACACCTTTTTCTTTTGACCAATGCCCAGAGAGAGGGAAAAGGTCATTCAAAGGTAGCAGAACCTGTGGCATCCTCTCCCGGGCCACGGGGCCTGATGCAGAGCACGCAGCATCACAGAGAACACTGAACACTCGTAGCTTCTGGCCCTCTGAAGCAAAGCAGTGGAAAATATTGACAATTTAGTCTTTTCACAGACTGTCCCTTCCCCCTTGGTGCTGCTTTAACAACCAAAAGATTTTGGTGTCTATTACATGGACTCAGTAAGATTTTTTTTTTCTGGTTTTAAGGAGTTAGAGTTCTAGTATCTCTTTTCCTTAGCCATTTGCTTTAAAGAAATGTAAAAAAAAAAAAAATCAATGGATTAGGGTCCAGCAAACACATAAATCTGCCTTGCGTGTTCTGTAAAAGCAATCATAAATATGCAGATGCCAAGTCACCCACACCTCTGACCTCAAAGCCAACCATCTCTCTGCTATGATGCCTCCATGTTTTCATGCTCTAGGATCATAGTTAAAATCCGGGAATAATTCGGCAAGGGACTCACGTTAGTTAAAACTGATTTTAAAGACTTGTTGGCATCCAATGTGTGTCAGCTGCCTAGTCAAGGCCACTTCACTGAAGGCAGTGGGTGTCAACCAGGGTCAATTCTGCACCAACCCAGGGGACATTTGACTGGAGACTTTTTGGTTGTCCCAACTGGACGGTGTCCTCCTGACATATAGTGGCTAGAGGCCAAGAATGGTGCTAAATACCCTTCAATGCACAGGGCATAACAATGAATGACGGACCCAAAAGTCAATAGTGCCAAGATTGAGAAAACCTACACATTTTCACTGTCCACCTGCAGACCTCAGAACAGATAGCAAATTCCTTGTGTTCCCCCATGTCAGTCATTGCAGAACCACTGTTGTAATATTGGCTAGGTCCACAAATATAAGAACTTCTACTTACTTAACAGGTTTGTTAAGTAAGCAAATTAACTCAATTTCTAATAATTTATCCTTGTCCTAACTGGTATCTATGAAACTGCAGATGTGATGGTCCAAATACACTTTCAATACACATAAATCAGCAAGAAAAAAATCAAATAACCCTATCAAAAAGTGGGCAAAGGACTTGAACAGAAACTTTTCTAAAGAAGACAGAAGAATGGCCAACAAACATATGAAAAAATGCTCAACATCTTTAATCATCAGGGAAATGCAAATCAAAACCACAATGAGACATCACTTAACTCCAGTGAGAATGGCCTTTATCAAAAAGTCTCCAAACAATAAATGCTGGTGAGGATGCGGAGAGAGAGGAACACTCCAAACTGCTGGTGGGACTGCAAACTAGTTCAACCTCTGTGGAAAGCAATATGGAGATACCTTAAAGCGATACAAGTGAATCTACCATTTGATCCAGCAATCCCATTGCTGAGCATCTACCCAAAAGATCCAATGACACTCTACAAAAAAGACACCTGCACTCGAATGTTTATAGCAGCACAATTCATAATTGCAAGGCTGTGGAAACAGCCCAAGTGCCCATCAATCCAAAAATGGATTAATAAAATGTGGTATATGTATACCATGGAGTACTACTCAGCTCTGAGAAACAATGGTGATATAGCACATCTTATATTTTCCTGGTTAGAGCTGGAACCCATACTATTAAGTGAAGTTTCCCAAGAATGGCTAAACAAGCACCACATATACTCACCAGCAAATTGGTATTAACTGAGCAGCACCTAAGTGGACACATAGGTACTACAGTAATAGGGTATTGGGCAGGTGGGAGGGGGGAGGGGGGCGGGTATATACATATATAATGAGTGAGATGTGCACCATCTGGGGGATGGTCATGCTGGAGACTCAGACTTGTGGGGGAGGGGGGAATGGGCATTTATTGAAACCTTAAAATCTGTACCCCCATAATATGCTGAAATAAAAATAAATAAATAAATAAATAAATGAAAAAAAATACTTAAAATGCTTATCCATGTTCTACCTGAAAGCTTCTCACATGCTACTGTGCCTGCCGGATTGCAGAAGTGGCTTTAAAGGTGTCTGAGTCCAGCCATTCCTCCGTGGCTGGACTCCCCACAATCACATTTTTGCCAAGTGGTCAGGCAGCCAATTCTTGGACACTCCAGTGATGGGGAACTCATTCATTTATTCAGCAAATAGTTACTGCCTACAGACATTATACTAGGCACAGCAGATAGATAGTGGGAGGCGGGAATAGTAGGAGCCAGTCCCAACCTTCCTTTAGCACACAAGCTAGTGGAGGAATCATTGTATTATTTCCCTCCACATCTGTTACATGTTTCCCAGTTTCTTGCTCAAGTCTTTCACAAAAAGAATGATACATTTAGGAGAAAAAGTAAACATCCATAAATTATCAAATTCGGCCCACATATAACCCAAACTTTCCTTGAATACTTTCAATGTGTACACTGGCTGCCCCAAGCCATTTCCATTTAATGGAATTGAATATGCAAAAGCGTTGGGGGCTTGATCCCTAACTGTTCCTCTCTAAGGAGGCACAGAGAACCAGGTGCGGGAAAAGGACAAAGATGACCTATGAGCTATTAAGGTGCAGAGACTTCCTACTTTGGGCACTTTCCTCCCCACTCTTTTCTCTTTGGCCCTTCTCTGAGATCAGGAAGCACTGGGCTAGAATACACAACTCTTATTGCTATTTCTGGACTGTTTATCACACCTGTTCAGGTGCCTTCTTTCTTGCTGGTACTAGTGCACACCATTTTTATGTTAGAACAAAGCCCTGAAGGGCATCATTTGTATGCCATGAAGCCTGCTGGAGAAGCCCTGGGTACTACACATTCTTCTTTTTCTCTCAGATACTCCTAGAAGTGGCCTCATTATAAAATGTCCCCAGTGAAGCAAACAATAAAAAGCAAATATCATGCAAGATTCAAATCTTTCTCAGCTGGAAACATGCCTTTTCTTTCAGAGTAAAATGATAACCTTCTTTTCTTCCATTGAACAAAAATATAGATAATAAAATGAAGTCAGAGCAACCCCTCATCCTAGTGAATACACAGCTGCTTTTTAGTTTAGCATTTATTACGTGTTGCCAGGCGCTGTGCTAACTGCTTTGTAGACGTTAGTTCATTTGTTCCTCCTAAAGACTCTATGAAGTTATTATTCCCATTTTATAGATGAGGAAACTGAGAGTCAGGGAGGTTAAACGTAGCAAGTTTAATTGCTGCACCAGGGTTTGCATCTCTGTCTGCACACAGCCTGTGCTCCCAGCCCTAGACTTAGTTGTGGGTAGAGCCTCCCCGCTCAGCATTTGGCAGAAAGATTGATTGAAAACCGAATGGTTTATTTTGTTTTGTAGAATTAATAAAGCTCGAGCAGTAGGCCTGCAGTTCCTCTGCGGGCTAAGCGAGTGGCGTTGCTGCCTAGGTCAAGTGTGGGGTGGGGGGGCAGGAAATGCCAAGTGTGCACCGGGCCTGTGAGCCCTGGGGAGGGAGACAGTGGGCTGCACCTGAAGCTGCATGTTTGTCTGGGTGAGTTCTTCTGCTTTCTTTTCCAGTGACATCACCCAGACCTTCCTCTTCTGTCTGCAGCGGGTGGCAGCTGCCCGGTTCCGTTCCAGAAATTTCCGCCGCCTCTCGTCGGGATCCTCATCCACCACCCTTCGCCGGCGCCCCCCTGTGGGCTGGGGCGGCTGTAGTGTCTGCGTTGGCTGCATCTGTTGCGTTGCTGGTGAAACCTGCTGGGACAGAGAGGGAGGGGGTGATGGGGACAGGGAAGGACACCTTGGGTAAGGGAGGAAACCCAAGGCAGCGTTAAAGTGCCAAGCTCAGAAAGTCAGCATACCCAGCTTGCTTTCTGTGAATGCCATAAACGATGAAGTCACACTCACAAAAGAAAATAAAAAAGCATCACTGAATTATATTCTTTGTTATGTTGGCCGAGCATAGGAATGACTCGTGAAAAGATGTAGTTTCCGATGGATTTTTTCCCCTGATGGGCCTTTGGCTGAAGTATAGTAGAGGAGACATTTCTTTTTCCCCTCTCCCTTCAGGTATGAAAAATGTTTTATTTCAGGTGTATTTAAAAGCTTTAAAGTAGCCAATGTATGGCTGCAGGGTGACAATGGAAAAGCCAGGGCTACTGTCACAATACTGATGAGTCATCTGTCATCTGCGGAAAACCTCTGGGCAGGTTGCAGGCTCCTTTCATTCTAATGGTGTTAAAACCGTGTTCTTAGAACACACCTCTGGGATATCATCGCCGCTGTGGCTCTTATCAAAAGAACCCTGTGAAGTGGGAAAACAGTGGAAATCCTATTTTCACCATTTCACAGTTCTCAGTGCGGAGGACTAGCTGGGCCTGCACACTCCAGATGGGTCTGCCTGCTCCTGGGAGCTCTCACTCAGGTGACCTGGGTTACAGGAGAGCTGTCCAGGATCAGGAAGCTGGGCCTTTGAAAGCAAACCAACGCCCTAGGCTGCCCTGAGCCCGATGCACGCTGCATGCATGGCGCTGCACTGTCGTACGCTTACGTTACAAGGAAATACTAAGAGTGGCAAAGCACTCTGTTAAACATTTTACTATGCTTATGGATTCCTTGCCAGGTCTACATGGGACTCAGCAACATCCAAGGCTTTGGAGACCCCCATACATATAGCTTTATTTCCCTTTGGGAGGCAGACACACAGCACCTTGTGAAATTTCTACGACGGACTCTTTATATGTCTGGACTCCTAACCCTTTCCCTAATACACTTCACTCCTTCCTCCTCCTTCATTCTCAATAAAGAGTGGTTTTTTTTGTTGTTGTTTTTGTTTTAACCTCTCCCATTTCTCAGTCACTCAGGTTTATGGCTGTAATACCTATAAAGTTGTTTTTACAAGAGACATTTAACCTGCAGAAATAACAGGCAAAAAGTTTTAAAAATGAAGCCCAACAACCTTTTGTGCCACATTCCAATCCTATGATTAGAATCAATCAGAACAACTGTAGTTGCACTCACAGTGGCTCCTGTTGACATCTGTGGACTGATGGTGATATATTTTAATCCTAAACTGTTATCAAAACTCATAGAAACAGGCTCAGGATTGAGGTTGGACTCCATCTCAGTAATTTTACTTAAAGCAAAGATATTGTCTAAAACTTTACTGGCGATTCCTTTCCTCCCGATCATAGAGGAATAACAAAATAGATTAATTGTCTAAGGTCTTACTCACCAGAGTGGCTGGTGGAGACGCAATCCTTGTTATTGGCAAAGATTTAGCACTTGTCATTTCAGATGCTAACTCCTAAACTAACTACCACAAAGAAAAGCATTAGAAGGGAATGTGCTAACTGTTCAGCTATTTTTGCATTTACTGTTTATTTTTGTGAATTATGATCTCTTATAGACAAGAATCTCAAGTGGGCCAAACTGGTTTTTAATCTCCCTTGCAAAGACCTCTCTTTCAATTCTGTATCTTCCTACCCTAACTTCAGTCAACCTTTAACCCATGACATTTTCCTGTGCTTTTACCCACAGGGATAATCGATGTAGAGATTTCAGGTGAAATGCAGGTTCAGGTTTTAAGGTGTTGGTCAGTTAAGTGAAATTCCTGTTGGCCATGAAGTGAAACCGGTACTCTAAAGTCACATCTTTGCATGTGGGAGGAATGCAATAAGCAGGGAGAAATCACAAATGCAGCCCTAAGACTAGAATTTGTGTCCCTGATAATTACCGTTGCTTATTTCATTTTTAAAATGGAATTCTCTTGGCATACGTGTTTTAAAAATTTTGATCAAAAAAAATTGTGATTTCAAAAAGAAAGAATTTATTCCAAATTATCTTAAAATCTCAGAATTGGAAGGACCTTAAGAAATGTTAAATAATGTAAGATCTCAGTAATCAGCCAAATTAACACGATTTAAGAGTGATATTGTAAAATACTGTCTAAATGATCTATCTGGTTTGAATTTTAGCAAGACCAACCTGGACTTTTTCTTTTTTGTATAAGATTTTTAAAAAAGCAACTGCGTGAGCAGCTGATTTTAAAAGCAATTAACTAATTGCATATACAACTGGCAATTTACTGATTTGAAACAGAGGGCAATCGGCTAATTGGTAATTAGCTAATGAATGGCTTTTATAGTCAAAGAATTGTTAAACTCATCTGGGAAATAACCTGCTCACAAAGGTAACCAAACCTTGATATCCTCCTTTGCCTTAAAATATAAGCACATGTATTAATCAACTGGCTTATCATTGACTTTGTAGGATCTTTTTCCCTTCTAAATATATGTCCCAGTATAGAATTTGACTAAAAATGTGAACAAAAAAGGTGCTCTTGACAGCATTTTATTGCTAAATTATTACTATTTGCCAAACTTCGATTACTTTGTTTTGGAACTACTTTGGTTTGGAATTAATCATGGCTAACATGTTTTAAAAACTGTGTCAAAGACTTTACAGAGATTACCTTATTTAATAGTCATAAGAGCCTATGAGTGTATCTATTATTACTCTCATTTACAGATGGGGAAACTGAGGTTTAGAGAGGTTAATCGTTTCTGTTCATAGTTAACACAACAAGTAAGGTGGGAAAAGAATTCAAGTTTCCTCACTCTAAATCTCAACTCATTCACTATCTAGAACACCCCTAAGTGCCTTTGCTAAAGTAAGTTTGTCTGATGAACAGACTAGGGAGTTGCCTGTGGCTGACCCACTTTGTGGATGGCTGTCCAGGTTTAGTCTATGTTAGGGGAGGTAGATGCAAGGGCTCAAAAACTGCCCGGTGTGAGGTCTTGTCTCCAGAGACAGATGTCGGAAGACACAAGTGAATAAGTCGGAGACAAGTGAATAAGTCTGACAGACGTCAGAGGAGACGGTGAATAACTGTTATTTGGCGGTCCCAAGCTTCCGACACCATTCTGCCCCAGCTGGTTGGAAGCTGGCAGTGTGGACTGGGTGGAGGGGACGGAAGAAGGTCATCCTGCGTGAGGATCCAAAGTGTCTAGGGCCAACCGTGCTCCTGGACGTGCCCTCCCTCCACTTACTAACGTTCACTCTGGTACATGGACTCGCCTCTCTTCTTGGCCTCGGGTGACATAACGTCTGCCTGGTCCCCCAACCCTCTTTCAGTTTAGTCTAAATGCTGGCTTTCTTTCCAGCCACTCCTGGTGACTCTCCGCCCCTGGGAGTTGGCCTTTCTCTTGGTCTGATCATCTACAGAGCTTGGCTCGCTCTCTGCTCCCTCCAACGCGTTTCACATTCGGTGGGGTGAGTCACCTCTCTTCACTACTCACACAGCATCTTACGCCCTAGCATCCACTACCAAGCTTCTCTGCCTGCCTCGAATGGTTACTCTTTAGGTTTTTAACATTTCTGATCATCCAGAAAATTGCCCACTCTATTTCACTTCCATTTAACACATGACCAAATTAAGTCTCTATCATGTTACAAAACATAATGGCTAGGGTTAGAATTAACTTATTTTTCTCATTCTTCTTTCACATCTTTCTTCATAAGCTTAAATTCTTCCTAAACCTTCCATTCGTATTACACTTTTGGAGGCTTCGTAACACACTGCCAAGTAGATTCTGGAGAACTTAAAGTTTACATCTGCCCCTAGAGATTGGACCCGGTATTGACTATATTATTTATAGACATTATGATCTAGTAGGGTCTTCTGGGTAAGCATTACCTCCTAGGAAATAAACAGAGCTCCCCAGAATGTCAGATAGAACACCTGGTCTTGTCAAACCTGGTTACTGCAAATGACCCCAGCATTAGAACTTGCACTATGAAGAAGAAAGAAAAAGAAGGAAGAAGGAGAAGAAGATGGAGAGAAAAGAAGAAGAAGAAGGAGGAGGAGGAGGAAGGAGAGAAAGAAGGAGAGGAGGAGGAGGAGGAGGAGGAGGAGGAAAGATCATGGGGAAGGTTTACCTGTGCTTGGTTGCCGGTGTGCAGGGGCGGGTGTGGCGAGGTCTGGTGATGTGCTGGGTGTGCATGGAGGTGGGAGTGGGAGTGATGATGGGGGTGGTTCTGCTGGTGATGGGGTTGAGGGTGAGGATGGTGTGCTGGGTGCTGGTGCTGGTGTGGATAGGGGTGATGGGGTGGCAGTGTCTGGTGCTGATGCGGGTGCGAGTGCATGTGATGGTGCGGCGTCTGGTCCTGCCGGGAGCCCATCATTTCCATCATGTGTCCCATGGTGTTCATATTCCCATTTGACATGGCAGCAGGGTGGTGAGTCAACGCGGCCTTCAACCTCTGAAATGGAACAAAACAAGAGGGGACAACTGAGATCAGTCATGTACGTGATAGGGACTTTGAAGCAAAATGAGTCATATTTTCAATTCTATAATATTTTATAGTACAGTCATATAGTCGTTAACATTTTTTCCTGGTACCAAGATAACTTTTGTGTTAATTTCATATTTTCTTACATATTATGGTAGGTAGGAGGGTCAGTATTATCAATAAATGTTAATTCAACCACCATAGCAAATGGGCAGGACATCCCACCAAGATATAGACATTTTCCAACCTTTTTGACACCAGGGACTAGTTTCATGGAAGACAACTTTGTAGCTTGGTCCCTAACAGGCCACAGACCGGTACTGGTCCACTGCCCAGGGGCTGGGGAGAGAAGTACTAGAAGGTATTTCCTACTAGCCCATCATTCATCCTATCATATCTACAGCTGAATGCAAATATAAACCAAATAGACCCATGGGATACGATAATGCCACTGAACAAAGGCCCCCATCTGATATGGCACTGTGTTTTGTAAGAGTCACCAGCATAAAAGGTTTTGCCTCTCAAAAGCTTTCTCAGACATAAAGAAGAATTGATTTCAAATTTTAAAATGTAGGACGAGCACTAATATCATTTTAGGGCTTCAAGTTAGCTTAAGTAGTCTATAAATTTGGAGGTAACGTGTAGGTCTCTTCCGTTTGTTACCATGATATTTCTCACTGTTCTGCCTGATAATCTAACTTTTCTTGCCCAATAACTTTCTTCTAACTTTGAGAAAAGGGCGTAAGGAAAGCAGAAGAATATGGAGTATTGCACCTTTTTTGATGGCCACATCAACAGGCCAGATATATTTCTAACAGAAAGCATTATCCATTCACAAGCAAACATGCACACGAATACCTTCTCCCTGAATGTAAAGCAGGGGTCAGCGAATTTTTTCCATAAAGAATCAGATAGTAAACATTTTTTGTCATTGCATGCCTTTTGGTCTCTGTCATAACTACTCAACTGCACTGTTTGGGGCAGAAAACCAGCTGTAGACAATATGTAAATGATGAACATGCTGGGTTCTAATACAATTTTATTTAGGGACAGGAAAACTGAGCTTCATATAATTTTCACATGTCATGAAATTTTATTCTACTTTTGATTTTTTTCCCCCCACAATCATTCAAAATGTAAAAACCATTCTTAGCTCATGTGCTGTACAAAATCAGACAGCAGGTCAGTTGGCCCACGGGCCATAGTTTGCTAACCCTGTTCAAAAGAATCAGTTGGTAATCAGTTTAGTCCCAGCTTCTTCACAATTGTTTTTCCTTCGACACAGGCAATTACCATCATATCCTGAGGGGCACAATGTGCTAAGTACTGTATAATGCGATTGCTCCTCACAAATGTGTCTTATGCAGAGATGACAGACTAATTGGCAAACTCACATTAGCTTCATGAAGTATTTACTAAGGGACTCAAAGTTGTCTCCTGGTTTGTGTTCTTATGTGATTGATGATAGTGGTGTGTAATCCCTGGGCAAACGAAGAGCTGTATTGAAATGATCAAAGCCACCATGCTCTAGCCCTCGTACAATATTAATGATCCTCGGCCAGTTAAACTATTGAAAAATACCAATTCCATTCATCAAAATCTTTAGTTAAACATAAAGAGCCTTTCCTTGCTTTCTAAAAAAGAAAGAGGATGGCAGACTATAAGTTAATATCAGATAATCATTTAAAGTATTTTTGACGTCCTGATTTAGTAACCACTTTGTCCACTTGTCTCCTACTTTCAAAAAATTTTTATAGATTTTTGTTGCATGGATATATTGTGCAGTGGTGATGTCTGGGCTTTTAGTGTACCCATCACCCAAATAGGTGCCCAATAGGTGATTTTTCATCCCTCATCCCCCTCCCTCTCTCCCACTTTTTAGAGTCTCCAATGTCTATTTCACTCTGCAGGTCCATGTGTACCCCACTTGCCTCCTCTTTCACAAGCAACAGCTACTGCCCGACAGCTCCTGACCTTCATGTTGATAGTTCTGAAGGGGTCAAGTTCCCTTGAGTGTCTGGGAAAGATTCGATGCAGGGTGTTGTGTTTACCAGTAGAAACCAAAAGTGGCCTAACACTTCTCATCTTCAATTTTCAGAAATGATTTCATTGTTTTGATAAAAATGCTCATTATAAAAAATTTAAGCAATGCTTAAAAGTATAATGAAGTCAACATCAAGTGAGCCAAATGTGTTGTTTATATTTGGTGGGTGAGCAGCATTCCAGACAACTTTATATAGGCACATGTGGAGATGGAAGAACAGCCAGACTAACTTCTTAACAGTGGAATCACGATAGCATGTAATTAAAAAAACTTTTCTTTGACTATGTGAAGAAGTGAAAATTGGGTGAACTGCTGAGCTTTGGATACATATTTCTTTACCTAAAGAAAAGTTTCTGAATTATCTCCAAACTTAAGGACAAAAAAAAAAAAAGTATGAGAAAACATTATGTTGAAATCATGGCTTTTCTAAAATTGACATATTGGACAGTATTAATGGGCTTTCTAAACTATTCCTTGTAATTTTATTATTATAAAAGTATACAGCTGCATAGTAAAACAACAACAAAAAATCAACTACTACAGGAATATTGGGTGAAAAAGTAAAAGCCACTTGCCTAACCTTCTCCCCTGAACCCCAGTTCCAGCTCTCCGATGTAACCACCATGTATTCTCAGACATGTGCTTAGCATTTATAAGAATATGTGCAGGCCCTTTTTATGATATATAGTTTTATACCCTCTTTTTTGTCACTTTCACAATGTATCCTCTCTAAACCAGGAGAGAAGGTACCAGAAGGCATGCCATTTGCATTTTGCCAAAAACAAGAGTGAATTGTGTTATGCCACCCCACCTTCCCATCATCAAAAGGAAAGACAGAAAGAAAGACGGAGGCTGGAAGAGTTGACGAGGGGAGATGTCATTGCTGCACAGTCCAGCGGTGGCCACATGTGTCTGTTACTGCACTTTTCTGAAATTTGGTGGATGGCAAGAATTTCCAGCAAGCTCACCTGCAGCAAGGGGTCATCCAGAGCCCAGCAGCTCCACCTCTCTTGTTGTATTTGCAAAGAACTGATACTTACATTTCCCCCATCCCAAAGCATAGGTTTATTAAGGTCTGCGAGTGCTTTCTCCTTGTCCCTACTTCCTGACCCTTGGGTATAACCCTTTTGTAAGTCTTCTTATACTCAGGGGATGAAGGGCAAAGTCCCAACGGCCCTTGCTCTTCCCACCCAGCGACACTGGTCTACTTCTAGTCCCTGGAGGTGCACCATGGTCCTCTGCATGCACAGGGCCTTGCATTTGATACTCTTCTTGCCTGGAATGCTCTTTCCCTTTCTTCAGACATTCTATAGCTCTCAGCTCCAGCCTCTTCCTTAGTAAAATTCTTCCTGGTCTACTGGCCCATCTCAGCTCCAGCCTCTTCCTTAGTAAAATTCTTCCTGGTCTACTGGCCCATCTCAGCTCCAGCCTTTTCCTTAGTAAAATTCTTCCTGGTCTCCTGGCCCATATCAATTTCTATTGTTATATGATCCCAGTAAAACTATATTCCTTAAAAAAGAAAAAAACAGTTTGTAGTTATATAATTTTTAGTATGATTATTCAATTAATATTCACCAACTGTCCCAGACTGTAAGTTCCATGTTGGATTTTGCTTGTAGCAAAAGCAAATCCTTGTAGCAAGGATTCAGTGTGAAATTCACAGCTTTAGCACACACCTGATACGTATTATACACTGAATTCATATTTTTGGACTGAATGTATGAATGAATAAATTAGTGCATGAATGAAACTTTCTGAAGCTAATGAGGAGGATGCAGCATTTTTATCTTGGCTCACTGCAGGTGGTATTTCCATGAAGGATGATTTTATTAGTCAACCAAGGTTAGCCGAATTGACTACAGAAGTCATGCAGACAGATGGGCTGTGAAAGTACAGTCAAAACAGCTCCCCACTCCACACCCTGCCTGCCCTCTAGAAAATGATAACAGAGAAAAGAAAACATAAACAAACAAGAGGAATGCAGCACGTTAATTTTATCTTGATATGTTTTCCCTGGAATTGTGGCAAGGAGTATCGAAAAGCTGAGTAGGAGTGGGTCATCGTGTTGTTCCTTCGATGCTACAAACAACTTTTCCACTCTTAATTAGGAGCAAATGAAGCTTGACAAAGAAATGCTATGCACCAGATCTTCATCTCTCAAATAATTAGCTTGCACTGGTAAGGGAAATTACTTGATTGCCTCAAGTCTATTCTTGCATGTTTCACGCCAAGATGACAATACTAGCGATGCTTCTAACATTCCATTTAACTATTTATTTACTCGACAAATATTTATTGGGCTTAGACTATGTGCCAGGCATGATGCTAGGCACATCATTATCGGCCTACTAACTGAAGGAAATGGAAGACACATAAAACCAAAACTTTTGAAAAGCATTGCAGAGAAAAAGAAAAAAATACACACATGTGGAAATATAGACCTTCAAGCACCCCTCAGAAAATCTCAGGCTCCTGGGTTAAGCCTGTGCTCCCAGCATCAGCCTAAATCATATTTGAAGGAAAACAGTGAAGATAAGTGAAGGATGCTTATCAACCTGCAGTGCATATGCCACATTTAATATTCTCCATGTCATTTCAAAATAGTTTGGAACACTTCTCAAAGTCCTAAGGAGCCTACCGCTTCCCTCAATCCCAGTGCCAGCAAGAGCACTTGCACTGTGAGTCACTAAAATACACCAAATATAGGTATTTGTACCCCACTCTCTTAGGGATGATGAATGGCCAGCAAATGAGTCCAAGCTGGATTTTGCAGAATGATTTTTCTTTTTGAAGCTGAACTGCGTCTTGTTTTAAATAACATTCTGCCTAATGCCAAGAAAGGGCAAGGGAGAGGGAGGGAAATTAATGAGCAAACACACTTATATTTTTCAGCCATAAAAACCAGGGTTATTACTGAGGTACGACT